GTGAGTCTGTGCTCTCAATCCACACTTCCATCACTGGAAAGAGGCCCTATGAGCAGTGCTGGGATGGGTTAGGATTTCTGCCTGCTTTTCTGTTCTTTTGTTTCCTTCTCTCCCAAGAGCTTTGGAAGTCTGAGCTTCATCCTAGTGTGGAAGAGGGGGAAAAAAGCAAAACCCTTTGTGGGACAGGACATTGTGGTGCCCATCTTGTGGGTGTGCATGACTGTCTCAGAGAGATGTGTGGGGAAAGCAGAGCCAGGAGCAGATGTCTCCGTGGCCTGCGGCGAGGGGAGCGAGGGTGTGTGCGAGGGGCTGGCGAATTCCTGCCTTCACAAAGACACCCCAACTGGAATTTATGAGAATCCATCCACAATAAAACGCTTTTAACTCGCTGTCTGGCCGTCAGCCGGCTGCATCCCAGGAACGGTGGCATGAGGATGAAGCTGCCACATCGCACATTCCTTGCTATCACCGCAGCTTCTCTCTTGATGAAACAAAATCTCCCCTTGTCTGACAGTTCTGAGAACTGAAGCAAGAAAACCTCAGTGATGTTGCTGTGCTTGGAAGCCTGTGCAAAGCATGGCAGTCTTCTGAGCAAAACTTTTCCATTGCTTGTGCTGCAAAGTCAGGATGCAAATAATAAATTGGCAGACTGGGATTTCAGAAGATTCTGCATATATCTGAGGGAACAGAGATGTTACCGCAAGATTGCTGAAAAAAAAGAGATTGATGATTTCATTGTCTGGACGATGTGTGTCATCAGCAAAGGCATACAGCAAGGGCAAGTTCCTCCCTGGCCCTGTGGAAGCCCGTGGGGAGGCTTGATGGGAACTCAGTCCAAACATTGATGGTGTTACTCTGGCAGATCAGGGGCAGAGGCATTACCGGCCTCTGCCCTGCCTGACCTGTGCAGTTTTAAGCCTGGGACTTATAAAAATAATATATTGCAGGACACCATGGTGTGAATGTCATCTTTCTGACCAGATCCACTCAATAGCCCTAACAAATCCCAGTGATGAGTCAATTTTCAATGGTCAGTGCCAGCACAGAGTGACACTGCAGACCACAAGGAAGAGAGAGAAATGCTGAGACAGCCTAATGGAGCATCCAGCTCAGTCCAAACAACTTACATGTTTTGTTCTTTTAATTCTTGGAAAGAATTAGAAAAGGATGGCAAATTTCACCAGAAGTGAAAGAAACCACAGAGGTCTTTGTCTGTGGATTAAGCGTTTTCAAGAACTAGCAAGAATAAATGTTTTCCTGTTTTCACTGCTTTCTGTACCTTAGGACCAAGCCACATAGGATATTTGTTGAGACTCCAAAGTTTTCTTATTTGGACTTGGTTGTTTTAGAGAACTTGTTTTGCAGGACTGCACATCCCAGGGAAGGAAATTAAGGTCAGAGATGGGAAAAACCCACCTAAGGGCCTGAAATAATTTTCATTTTTCCAAGACCACCCTGTGTGGGAATGATACATTTAAAAATGGGTGGAACCTCTAAGCCTGGAATTGTATCAAGTTATTCATGAAAAATCTCTGAGATCTTTGTGTGGACCAAGATATTTGGGTGGTACTTTCTCACTCTTTCTTCAGAAAAGGCACTGTGGCCTCACAAACTGAAAACTAGCCTTGCTTTTTCCCCGACTTTAAAAATAACTATGTATCTTGAAAAGCTGTCTCAGCAGTAGTGAAGGAATGGAAAAAAAAGTCCATTATATCCCCATGGTTTCATACAGTGCAGCTGTGCTAACAGAGTGCACAGAGACTGAGACCAGGGGAAAGGCACGAAATAGTCCATGAAATGAGCAGTTGAATTTAACAGTAAAGCTTCAGGTAATGCAGAGCTCGACTGTCCAGGTATCCGATTGCAGATGGCAGGTTTTTGCCTTTATTTTTCAGGGGGAAAATCCAGAATATAAATAAAATCTAGCACTTAACTATTATTTGTATTAGCGTTTTTTTTTGGTTTTTTTTTTACTGAAATCAATGGGGAAATTATCATCCTATAGGAAATCTTTCTTACATTAAATTAACATTTTTAAATATTCTTGCAATATATTTGGATGAAATATCCATATTCTGTTTTGATTTTCCTTCTGGCAGAATGTCTGTAGGATGACAGTCCTATCTGAAAAAAAAACAGGTTCATAATGAATTAGTCATATTTTTATAGTATTTGTTGTTTATTTTTATTGTAATTATTATTTTGTACATAATATAGTATAATCATTGTAACTGATTTATTAAATCAGTTTAAAACTATCTTTGTTTTATTTTAGAGGAGCAAGCATGCATCAACATACAGCTTTCAAAAGTCCCTCTTAGGTCTTGGTGCGATTATTAGCAGTTACTAATAATTTAAAAAATATTTGTGCAGGCATAATGGAACGAATATCAACTCAATGTAATATGCAGTTGCCACAGTGGATCTATTCCCCCTGACTCAACTCTAACATGCTGGTGGTTAGTTTATAACCCTCTTTAGGTTACAGCATTTTAACGTTTCTCCAGTGTTTATTTATTCTCTTCCCAAAGAATGTTCTGAAATATCAAGTTTACAACCTGTGGCTCATGTGATGGTAGTGGTAACAATTAAGGCAGAAACTTTCAAAGCCACCACGGGGATTTTGATGCCCAAAGTCATTAATTTTAATAAGAAGGGAGCTGCCAGTCGTCTTAAGTGGTTTGTAAAATCTCAACCCATAAAAACACCTCTCTACTGGTTCCAGTTTACAGGGAGCTCAGAGCAAGGTAAACACATGTAAGAAAATAGTAGGTGTTAAAAGGTGGAAAGTACGTGTTCAGATATCCCTAAGACCACTCAAGGAATCAAAGAGCAGCCCCAGCCTTGAGCTGGCACAGGGGGGCTGCTCCTGCCTGCAGCATCTCAGGGAGTTGCTGACTGATCAGAGCACGAGGCACAGAGAAGGAAGTCAATGGAAACAGAAATTTTGGCTACAGCTCAGTTCCGGTGGCTTCCTGCCACCCACTGGTCTCTGCTGCCATCTCAGGACCCACATGGTGTCTGTAGGTGCTTGGTCCTGGTCCTTCCTACCTGCCTAAACTCTCCTGTCCAAGTTCACACTGTGTTATCCTCCAAGCTGCTAAATGGCTGCACTTGGATGTTGATACTTTGCTGATCCACCGTCGTGGTTGGATAAAAATTAAGAACTGTCTGCTGTGGCCTATGAGACCGCCCCAGTGCAAACCTGTGAGCGCCTCTTCATTTACTGAGTCAGGACATGGCTTTGTTTAAGCCACAAGCCTGTGCCATAGCTGAGGAATTCTTAAAGGCTTTGGAGAGCGCCAAGAACTCTCAAAGGAAACTGCTGCACTGGGGAACTTCCACCCTCAACATGAAACATGAAAGAAAGTCTTAATGGGGAAAAAATTTAGAACCAGCAGATCTATCTGTGATATAAAATAGAGCATGGAGTAAGCATGAATGAGTTTGGAAGGGACTCACTGGGAGTCTGAATGATTGGGAAAAGAAGAAAGAAAAGGGATTTTCTTGTGTGTTTTATTAATAAAACCAACCATGAAGAATTTCAGAATTAGTTCTAGAAAACTTTCTTTTTTTGCTCTATCTGCTGTATGATCTCTGAAGAACTTCATGGATGTTGGCTACAAGTGACAAAGTTACTGTGGTGTTTGCCAGTGAGTCTCATAGTAACAGTAATTAATTATCAGTAGGTATTGGAAAGACTTTCGGATGAAACACAATGCAGTGGAAATAGAGGTGACCATCAAGACTGGTATTGTAACAGACTTCAAGAAAGTAAAAAAGAAAAAAAGCTTTCATTAGTAGTAGATGTGACTTTTTTGGAAGAGAACAAAATGTTCCATAAATGAAACATGTGGTTTCACTTGCGGCACATTTTGTACATTGTCACCAATGAAGTTTAGGATTTTTTATTACTTTTTCATTAAAATGTCTTACTGGTTTCACTCAGGAGGCAAAATTTTTCACGTGGCTTTAATTGTTTCTGTCATAAAAGTCATAGCATCCATGTAATAGAAATAGTTTTGCAGACCACAGCTTCATATTGCCTATTAATTCGCTCCCATTTTCTGTATGTACAACTCATTGGCCCATCCCAGGGACAGGAAAATTTCTTGCAATTAAGACTCAATATGAACTTCTACTGAAGTTAGGGGGGAAAAATAACTTTATGTCAGTCCTGTTTTATTAGTTTTTTGTTTCAGCTATCTTAGCTCACAATAAGTTCACATGGCTGCATACCAAAGGAGAGAGTTTATATTGACTTTCTTCTAAAATCAGTGAAACTCTAGAAGATGAAAATAAAAGGTCTTTTCTGCATCATTCCAGTCATGTACAAGAGCTGGTAATACTTCAGATAGGATTGAAGAGCTCTGGCAGAATTGTTTCAAGGAGGCTTTGGACAGGTCATTTCCCCCTTTTTTCTTCATTACCTGCTGGAGTTCAGGTCTCACATCCCATCCCAGCTGCCAAGCTTCCATGCTTCCATGCGTCTGTCATCAGCCTAGGTGTCCTTGTCCCCAGTCCTGACTGGATGAGGAAATACAATTCTTGTTGCAGTTAAAAAAAAAAAACAAAAAAAAAAAAAACAAAACAAAAAAAAAAACCACCAAAAGACTTCTGTTATCTCATTAATTTAAGATCAGCTTCTCTCATTAATTTAAGATCACCTTCTCTTACCATCTTGGAGAGGGTTTTGTCATTCGACCTTCAGCCCAGCAGGGGAGGCAACCCCTACCACAGACGAAGGCCTCTAAGAAGTCATTAAGATGCCAGAACACAGCAATAGAGTATCTGTTGCCTTTTCCCTGTTTTTCAGTTAAGTGTTTACTTGAAAGCTTCCTATGAAATGCCAGTGCTGTCTTTACTTGCTGCTCCAGAGCAAAAGCCTTGTGCACCTTCTCAGCAGTCAGGGGCACCCACCAAGCAGTGCAGTCTTCTGCTTTCACCTTTGTTTTGGCACCCTTCCTCCTTTACACATATTTAAATGTTGTGTTTTGCAGTTCAAGGACGACAAAGACGAGCCCAGCCTTGGAGGGACTCTCAGTGACCGCCCTGCCCCCTGTCCAGCTTTCTGAGCAGGTCCCACTGGCGTCTCCTTCCCTGAAGCCACAGCAGATGGACGAAGAAGACAGCCTGTCTCCTCACCTCTTGTTGCCCGACAGCATCAGCCAGCTGGAGGAGTTTGGCAGGCAGAAGAAATGGCACAAGAAGCAGCACAAACACCATCGCCAGAGGCAGTTCAATGACCTCTGGGTTCGGATAGAAGACAGGTGAGTCATGACTGCTGTGGTCCCTGTCCTCTTCCTGCTGGCTCCTAACTTGATGCTCTTTGCAGATCCCAGCTCTTGCTGCTTAGACCATAGGGAAGGTTGGATAAAGGCTAACTGGGAGACACAGGGAGTGAGATTATGTTTTTGTAGCCTAATGAAGAGCTAGGAGGAAAATAAGTGTGTTCATAGGCATGTTTGATCAAAAAGTAAATAAGAAAAAAAGAGTTAATGCTTAAAATATTTAAAATACACAGAAACAAAGACTTGTCAGAGTGAAAAGCAGGAAAAGAACAACAATAGAAAATACTCTGTGCTTGTCCTTTTTCTTCCAATAATTCTTTTCCTATCTGTACCAGCAGTTTTCATCACAAAGGCTTGCCCATTTTCCGACCATACAGAATATTCCTGAGAGTTTTTAAGATTCTGAAAAATCGGACTTTCAGCCTTCTTAACTATGTTGTGGGGCTGAAATGTTTTAACATCTCAGACTGCTCTGAAAATAGCAAACTGAAGCAAAATGAAGCACTTAACTAAATCCTCTATGTGAAGAGGATGGAGGCAGGCACTTTTCCATGGCTATTCCAATCTTGGTCTGAGGTTAAAAACTCCCATTCAATGTTTGAATAAGAGCCTTCATGTTTGACCAGGGCTTCTCAATGTGTGCTTTTAGGATTCCTGGGCAATTTATTCTCCCACCTCTAAAGCTCTTAGTGCCTTTATCCAGGCCAAATCATGGGCAGATAAACAGCCACAATGTTTACTATCTTCTAACAAGTAAAAGGAACTAAGTAATATGTTGGGAACTAGCTGCTCACCTACACATATAATAATTATCTTTGAGCATTACATATTCCCATTTTCATAGCACTTAAATTCCTTGAAAGTCTCTCTGAGATTTCTCCCTTTGCTAAGAAAAAAAGCTTCACATATTTGTGTTTTCAGATTTTTATTATTATTACTATTATTTTTTTCATTCTTTTTAATGGAGCAGTTACCTCATTTTTTGTAGTTTATTGTTTTCTCAGGGTGAATGATGTAAGGGTTGCTATTAAGGTGGTGCATATTAATCTTAATGTAATAAGGCTGTTTCTGAGATCAGTGCCAGCCTTGTAAGAAGGATTCATGTATTTTCTTTTCAAAGTGTGTTCAGTGCTTGGATCCCCTCCACAGAGGATGTTTAAGCATGAACTAGGTGGCATTTGGTTCACCACACACAGCTGATTGCCTCAAATACAAGGAATTTTTCTGTCCTGACTGGGGGCTGCTGACTTGTGGTGTCCCATGATGTCCCAGCATTTCACAAGGGTCTGTGGTCCAGTTCCTCATGTGTTGTACAAGTGAGGTGTTTAAATAGGTCTGGTGGGAGCATGGCACTTGGGCACAATCCTTCTACCCCCTATGCTATCTGTCCAGAAAGGACATTGGATATTGGCAGTGGAAATGTGCAGTTGGGAGCTTAAAGTGGTGCTTATGATTTTTAAGCCTTTTGCTGGTTTTATGAAATGTTCCTAGGAAAGGGATTTAAGAGGTAGTTCTGAGGGTTAGAGTTAAATTATTTGCTCTGTGCTCCTGTGAGATTTCACCTGAATCAAAGCCTTTTATCCCTCTATTTCCATTTCATAAGGGTGGAGATTGGGGTGAGGAAACACAAGTTTCCGCTCCCACCACGCTGGTGATGAACCAGACACTGTGTGTTGCCTGCCTTGCTGAAAGATCCCAGGGAGATATTAGTGGGAGATCACAGGCATAGAAATGAAGAAAGGCTGGAAGAAGGGAAGCCTGCCTTAGTGCCTTCAGATGGTTTTAGTGCTTCTACAGTTCTGGAGTAACTTCTGGTGTTTTCCTGGAAACAAAGCAAAACAAAACACAAAAAATACAAGTTCACTAAATTAGGGACTCACAACCAGCTCTGGTTTTCCCATAAATTGGATGGGGTCTCAACTTTCATAAACCAGCTGCTGCATATTGTGCTTTTGGCAGTTGGGTTTCATCAGCATTAATTGCAAGCTGGACCCTGCACAAAGCAATAAACAGTGAGTTCTCTCCAACTGGATCCTTTCTGATTGGCAAGAAAAGAGCAGAAATGTGTGTCTGTGACCAGACCTTGTACGGTGATCATTTTTGGGAGGAAACAAGCAGGGTGGCTGATCATACAGGCAATAGAGTGTTACTTGTGCAGGAGAGAAACATGGACTTCTTTTCATTGCCTCAATAATTGAGACTTAGCACTCGTTTTTGAAGGGTAATTGATGTAGTAGGGAGTTCTCACTCTGGCCTGTCCCAAAAATCCATTGTGCATTTGCCTACACTTCAAGTGGAGCCCCCCATGTTCTGTATGGACTGAGGTCTCTGCATTTGGTATTAACTTGAGCTATGGGCCCCTATTTCCAAATGGCTTTTCTTCCAGTTCCCTGACTAACCAATTGTCACCTGAAACTTGAAGTGTTCACCTTTGAGACAAAGTAGAGGCATTTAGGTCTTTGTTACAGCTTTCAGGGGAAAGCTGCATAAAACTCATTGTTTCCATGCGAGGTCCCCAGGATTCAGCTGTTGGAGCTGCCTTTCAACCTGAAAAGTCAAAGAAAAATATGCAGGTGGAGGACAAATCCGGGCGAATTTAAACCAGGTTATTGATTCCTGTATGAACCTCATTGAACTGTGAAATGACTCTGGTTCATACAGCTCTTTTCCAAAGCTTTATTGACCATGGATTAGAGGACTTTATGAGCCATGAATTGCAGGGCTTTTATGGACTACGAATTTCTAGGCGATCTCATACACTTCCATGGAAATCTTAGGGTGTTTTCTTAAGCTACCAACACAGAAACAAAGGAAATGAACACAGGAGAACAATCTTAAAGGAACATCAAAAGTCTGACTCCAACCTATAAAAGCCAGGAAATCCATAATTAATGGTTCCACTAAGACTTCAGCTCTCACAGTCATTCGGGTCTGATCCAAGGTTATGGCTACAATCTGAAATGGCCTCATGAAAAATGAGTCATCATTTAATGCCACACATCATTATTAGTATTTACTTTCAGTTGTACCTTGGAGATTGTCCTTTTCTTTTTGTTCTGTCTTCACAGCTGAGGCATTTGAGTTGGCACCCCTGGGTGGACAGTGTTTAGATTTGTGTGTTGGAGGTTTAGTACTGCTGTGGAGGATGAGAAAGCTTCTGCTCTGTCTCCTCCCTGTCTTTGACAGAGCTAAGATTTGCTGATCTCCTGGGTAATTGGCTGCACTGAAGACTATTAAAAAATAAAAAATGCTGATGAAATGTGTGGTTTCCTCTCCCTTCTGCCTCCTTCCCCCAAAATCTAAACAAACTGAAAAAGTCCTGCCTGACTGCAGTTTCTGTTTGAAATGGCTTGTCAAGAATCAAAATTGAATGGAGATTTTAAGTAGCAAGATTTTTTTCTTCAACTACTTGATTTTGCAGAAATTTGCAGATATGAAGTCTGTCCTTGGGAGAAATTTGAACTTAGACAAGACTCAAACCCTGGCTACCTCCCATAGCCAAAATCCAGCTGGGGCAGCAGGGAGGGGAGACAAAACCCTCAGGCTGCAGGGCTGCAGTTTGGCACACAGAGTATCATTGTTTCTGTTGACACTGTGTTAGCTAGGCTTCCCCATGTAATATAAATAATTAATTACAGATCATTCACTGGCTTTTCATGATGAGATGCTCAGTTAATTGAAAGAACAGAGAAATGCCTGTGAGGTTTCAGAGCAGTCAGTGAAGGGCAGGTCAGGATTGCACCTTTGCTGTAGCAGTCAAATGGTTCAAGGCTGCCAACAAAACCAGTCCAGAACAGAGAATCTCTTCCAGCTGCTGGGGGGAGTTATCCTGGGACCCAAGGCAAGGAGGGAGGAAAGCTCCTGGGAAAAAGGAGAGAGGGGACTTATTAACTGGGAGGGCATTATGCGAGGGGTGACGTTTGGAAGGAGCAATGGCAGCTAGAGGATGTGAAAGAGAGAAGTACAGTGGTGGGAAGAAAAAAAGTAGAAACGATGCAATGAGCAAGTTAATTCCCACTGCCAAGGAAGAGATCTGGGTGAAGGTGCTGTTTGGAAAGAGGGTAAGGATACACACGCTTCAACAGGAAAGAAATTAAGGGCAAAGAATTGTTCTCAGAAGAGAAAAAAAAATTCTCATCCCAGATGTAAGCTCAGCCCTGCAAAAGCTACTATAAGTGGGAAATGAAATGAATTCTCCCTGTAAGTAGAAATGGCAGCTCTCTGATAGCCCAGTGCAGACTGTTCAACCCCAGATGAATGCAATAACATCACAAATATCAATTTATTTTGGAAGAAGCAGTTGTTTTAGGAGGAAAAAATGTATAGCAGTGATGGATGAAGGGAGACAATACGTAATAAACTACACTGAGTTTGCCTGTACAGAGTGAACCTTATCAGTTTGGATGGAATTTAAGCACTTAGCCTGTTATCCTTTCTTTCAAGACAATGCAGTGATGGAAAACAGAACTCTGTCAACTCAGACAAACTTTTAATTCCACTTAACTGCATCTGAAAGGTAAATTTCAGTAAATTAATCCAAATTGCTTCCTTTTCACAACACATGGTGCTGAAATACAGTACTTAACTTCATTAAAGAAAAGACTGCTTTTATTTAGAGGAGACCTAGACACCTTTGAAGTCTAACAGGTAAATTGTGGTCAGATGATTTCCCTCCATATGGTACCTTTGAGCTTGAAATTTCCATCACTGGGGCCTTGTTTGTTTAAATTACCCTGTCTGCCTCCCTGGTCAGGACACTGCTCGGGGAGTGCCTCCTGATGCTCATGGGGAGAGGGATCACTGCCTCCTCCAGCCTGTACAGCCAAGGAAGCAGTGTCACCTTTGCATTTATTTGCCCTGTGTTCAACCAGGGATGAGGACACAGCTTCAGGACTTCTCTATCTTGCAGGGCATGGCATACAAATATCTACAGTCAGCAGAAGAACTTCAGGGTTTGTCAGTTTGGGTGCAAGAGCTTT